GAGGGCAGGCCTTTGACCTTACTTGAGAGAAGGTAAGAGAGTAGCCACTCAGAAAGGCTGGATTAATATTCCCCACTCCTGAAGGGCAGCCATCCTGAAGGGGTTCAGAGCCAGGGCACTGGAGCCAGACTATGTGGGTTCTAATTCCAGCTCTACGTCTTACTAGCTGTATGACCTTGGGCAAGTAACTTAACCTCTCTGTGCCTCAGTTTTCTCATCTGCTACATAGGGACGATAATAGTACCTTCCTCACAAGGTTGTTGAAAAGATTTATGGTTCCATGTCCGTAAATTCCTGAGAACAGTGCCTGGCACATAGAAAGCCCTGTCTAAGTGTTTGTGAAACAAGATTGGAGGGCCAGTGTAACTGCCTGGAGGAGCTGAGAGACTTTGGGTAAGAGGCTGTCCTCTCTGAGCCTCAGCATCCTGTTTGGCCACCAAGGGTTTAGCTATCAGTGGTTTTCAAACTCCAGCAGCTTAACTCTCTCCCTTCAACACAGTCTTACCCGGAATATCCCAGTGTCTACTCCGGGGCTCTGGTCAATGCTAGAATGAGGGCCTGGCACAATGGGCCCCAAGACACCGGCTCGGGACATCTGAGGCTCCTGGGAGCACAGTGGCAACGGCCCGCAGGAGAGAGTGACCTCGTGGATGTTTCAACTCCAGGGATGAAGGACAGCTTCAGGCCAATGCGTGTGAGCGTGAGAGAGAGAGAAGGCGGGGAAGGCCCTGAGTGGGGGTGCCGGGGACAGCCCGGTCTGGGCCCTCAGATACTCACGGTCGTCGGCATGGACAATCTGGAAGTTCTTGACCGAGGCCTGGGTGACTCGGCCTTGGAAGTTGAGGGTGTAGGAGCCGCTGTCCTCGTTCCAGACAGGTGGCTTGTTGTGCAGCTCGATGAGGCTCTCCAGGGTCTTGTTCTGCCAGCGCACCAGCAGCCCATCGCTGGCCTGGGTGCCCAGGGGAGAATTAGGGAGAGGACAATTAGGGGTGGCTGAGATATCTCAGGACTGACAGGGGAAGGGGCCTGGGGACCTATGCGCGCGCCCTTGAGTGTGTGTGCAGGTGTGCAGCCTGGAGGTGAACATCCATTCAGGGTATCCTTGAGAGCAGGCTGGGTCTCTGGGGTGTCCTTGTGGGCAGGGTGGACATCTGGGAGAATGCGGCTTTGCTGTGGGACACGAGTGGAGGGCTGAAAATGGAAAGTAGCATCTGGCACACAGTAGTTGGCTTTGTGCCCTTGGTCTTAGGAATGGCCACATGCTGGCACCTGATTGCAAGATGAACCAGACATTCTAGGACCTACAGGGAGCTTGCAGTTGAGCTGGGGGACATGGACAGGTAACAGTGGTTAAAATAAAATGGCCTGGAAGAGAGCTTCTAGAAGGAAGAAGCGGTGTCTGTATGATGGTGCTCTTGAGATATTTCTTTCCTGAGTTTCCCTGTCACCTGTTCATGTTCATGGCTTAGAGTCCACTCAAGATCACGTCCTCTAAGAAAGCTTCCTGACCGCAGGTCCGACTTAGATGTCTTAGCTCTGAGCTCTCATAACACCTCGCTCTTACCATTCCTCCCCCTGTGCTGTAATGGACAGAATTAGATACTCTAAGGGCAGGCACAGAATTTTAGTAACGTCTCTGTGCCTCAGTTTCCCTCACCACAGGGTGTTGTGAGGGTTAAATAAGCTAATAGCACCTGTAATGTTATTTAGATCCATTCCTGGCACAGCCGAAATGCTCAGTGAGTATCAGATATTGTTTGGATGGTAACCGTTGTGTTGATTTTTTTGGATCTTCAGTGCCTGGCTTTCATAAATGATTGTAGAAAGAATGACCTGTGAGATGCTGAAGAGAGACCCAAAGCAGCACTGGGTAGTTGTCACAAAGCCCAGACACACGTGGGAGGCACTGCCTCTGCAGGGTCTGTGTGTTTATTCGAGGCACGGAAGGAGCAAGTGTGGGACCCACAGGCTCCTCCAGACCAGAGCCTCCGATGGCTGCTGCCCCACGGGTTGGCTCGCCTCTGATTACGGTGTGACTTTCCAGCCAGGAAGGATGTGTGATCAGCTGACACGGGTATTATTTTTCATTGTAAATGAGTAAAGTGACATCATTGTGAATATGGAGCATGCCAGTCATCCCGTCTCTGAAATCCTGGCCTCAATCGGCCTGCAGGGCTAAGGAGCAGATAACTGGACAGACACTCTGAAGGACCTCTCTCCAGGACATCTCTTCATCTTACCCTACACCTGCAAACACACACACATGCAACAAACAACCTTTGCTTTTTAAAATATAAGTCAAATCATGTCAGGCTTTTATACTCAAAATCCTGCTATGGCATTCTCTTTCTCTCAGAGTAAAAACCAGTTATACTAGCTTTATCTGCCCCTCACTCTCACCTCTCTGACCTCATCTCCCTCCAGCCACACTGGCCACCTTGCTGTTCCTCAAACCCACCAGGCATCCTGCTGCCTCAGGGCCTTTGCACTGGCTCTTCCCTCTGCCTGGATGCTTTTTCCCCAGATATCTGCAGGCTTGCTCCCTCACCTCCTTCAAGACTTTGCTCAAATCTCACCTTCTCAATGAGGCCCACTTTGACACTGTAATTAATATTGAAACCTACACACACACACTTCTCATCGCCCTTCCCTGTTCGACTTCTTTTTCCCCATAGCACTTATCACTTCCTAACATACTACATAATTTACGTATTTTTCACAGATACTCTCTACCGTCTTGCTCCACTAGAATGCCAGCTTTGGGAGGGCGAGTCTTTACTTTGTCCACTGACATCTTCCAGGTGCCTAGAATAACACTTGGCACTCAATCTATGTGTGTTGAGTGAATACATGAATGGATGATTTGATGTAAACTGAAAAAAAAAAAACCCATTGTGCTTGTTTCTGTGAATTCAATTACACAAACCCCAAATTCATTCTACAAGTTGCCAGAATGATGAGGTGCTGGAGGAGGGTGAGTTCGTTCCCGGCGGTTGGGTGGGGGGAAGCTGAGCCCCCACCCCCCAGCTTCCCAGGGGAGGGTGGCGTCGGGAGCAGAACCCTGGGGGAGACAGGTGAGGGAGGCGCAGGGCTCACATTTCGGGGCCGGATGGGGACCCTCTGGTTGTCCGCATTCATGCCCGGAATGATGACGGTCATGCGCCGGGGACCTCGGAAGCCCAGCACGTTGGTCTCCTGGGAGGGAGAGGCGTGTCAGGCGGCCCGCCGCGCGGGGCGGGGCCTCGGCGGGGGACGGGGGTCCTCACGTAGATCACGGCCGCCAGCTCCTGCCGCAGGCTCGCCACGTCCGCGCCGCCTCCGCGGTGCTGCGGGTTCTGCCCGCTGTCGAAGACGGTGAAGCGGTTCCCCAGGAGGTTGGACCTGCAAGCAGCGCGGAGCTGGGCGCGCGGCGGGGGGCGCCGCGCTCCTGCTCGAGACCCTCCCTCACAGCCGAGCAGTTCTGAGAGCTTCCTCCATCCAGGGAGGGCTGTCCCGGGACGGAGCGGTCCCCTGCCCCTGGCTTCTCCCATGAGGTCTTTCAAAAGCTCAGTCTAGAAGGAGACTGGGCAGCGTTCAAATCTCAGCTCTCTTACCAGCTGTGTGACTTTAGGCAAGTCACCTAAACTGTCTGAGCCTCAACTTCCCCATCTGTAAAATGGGCATAATAGCAGTATTTACCTCATTTGGTTGATAAGATGATTAAATGGGTTAATATTTGGAAGTTACTTAGAACTCTGCCTGACAGATAGGTAGACCTTATATAAGTGTTTGTTAAATACATAAATAAAAGAAAAAAGGCCTGACTGGGGCTCACCTCCCCGCACCGCTCAGATGTGCGGCGAAGATTAGATGAGATAAATAGGGAGACACAGCACAGGGTAGGTGCCAAATATTTGCTCATTCATTCACTTAGTAAATACTTATTGAGTAGCTACTATGTGCCAGGGGCTAGCAATTCCACCACGGACAAAACAGGCATGGGCCCTGCCCTCCTGAAGCCTATGCTCTCCTCCAGGTAGGGTCCCTGGACCAGCAGGGTGGGCATCACTTGGGTGCTTGTTAGAAATGCAGCATCTCAACACCCCCCCACCACCACCACCAAGCTCCAGATCCACTGAATCTTTTTTTTTTTTTTGAGGAAGATTAGGTCTGAGCCAACATCCACTGCCAAACCTTTTCTTTTCTTTTCTTTTTGCTGAGGAAGATTGGCCCTGAGCTAACATCCGTGCCTATCTTCCTCCATTTTATATGTAGGACACCTGCCACAGCATGGCTTGATAAGCGGTAGGTAGGTCAGCACCTGGGATCTGGACCTGCAAACCCCAGGCTGCCAAAGCAGAGCACGCAAACTTAACCACTGCACTACCCAGCTGCCCCAACCCCCAAACCATTTTAACAAGATCCCCCAAGAGATCTATATAAAGCGTAAGAGCCCCTGGGCTGGAGGCAGTTCCCAAGTGTCCAGTGTGGTGGGCACTCTGTAAGCACAGGGGACAGAGAAGACTGGCTGTGGCCCTCTTGCTGCCCCCAGCCTCCCAGCCCGACCTCAGCTTCCCGATGAAATTCTCCCCTCCTCGGGACAGATTGGTAGGGTCACTGGAGATGAGGTAATTGGCCGTCTTGCTCCTCTTCCGTTTCCTGCCAGCCAAGAGGAACACCTGGGCAGAGGTGGAGACAGGTGAGAGGATGGGAAGGAGGGGTGGCAGAAGGACGAGGGGGAGGGGAGGAGAAGCCCTGTTTGCCTTGTAGCCCCTCATCTTGGCCCCAGACCCTCCCTCAGCCTGGCACCCCCACTCTCTCCCATCCCCCTCCCTCCCCTCCCCCTCCCTTCCCCCTACCCACCTTCTTCTCCGTGTCCAGGTGCAGGAAGTAGGAGGGATACAGGCCCCGATCCATACCCTTCTTATCCCGGGTCAGCCGGCAGCGCACTGTCCGGCCCTGGGGGGCGGGCCGAAGCACGAATTCCCGGGGTTCATCCACTTCCACGGGTGGGGACGGAGCCCTCTCCTCCTTCTGGGTGGGGGCAGAGGGTGCATCAGCCCCAGAGCCCTGGCTCCCGTGCCCTCAGCAGGTCCCCAGCGCCAGGACACAGGCAGGGTAGGCCGGACCACTCACCGCTTTCTGTGAGGGGAGAGAACAGAGGCCAGCTAGACTGCAGCCAGGCCCTCGTGGTCCCCAGCAGCTCAGCGGGCTCTGTTAGGGGGTTCTGGGGAGGTTTGCACTTTATTACTATTTCCTTTAGCTTGTGGTTAAGAGCCCAGGCTCTGGAGCCAGACAGCCTGGGTTCAAATCCTGGTTCCACCACTAACTGTCAAGTTCGTCAAGTTTTAACCCTGCTGTGACTCAGTTTTTCCATCCGAGAAGTGGGTAGGGTCGGGTGGATCCCTGGGACAACCTTATTTAGTTTATACATTTAACAAACACTCATAGGAAGTCTACTGATGTGCCCAGTATGGTTCTAAGCACTTTGCAGATATTAACTCATTTGATCCTCCTCTCCGTACCTGCTGAGGGGGTTGTCCCATTTTACAGATGAAGCAGCTGAGGTTCAGAGAGGTTAAGTACCTTGGCCAAGTCCACATAGCTAGTAAGAGGTGGACGCTGCCCAGCCTCCTGTGAGATCCAGAGCCTTTAGAAAGACCTTCCTCCACGTGGACGCACCCTCAGGGCGAACTGAGGTGAGGCTGAGGTATGGAGTGCTGTGTTCTGTGCACATAGCGCTACAGAAGTGCTGGCTTCTGCTGTTATTATGGGCATAGAGTAGACACACAATGGATGGAGTAGCCAACCTCCAAGATGGCCCCCTGACCCCTGCCTCCTGGTATTTACATGCTGGTGTGGTCCCCTCCCACACTGTCCCAGGGTTGGTCTTTGTGACCAATCGAATGCGACAGGAGTGATGGGGGGGTCACTTCTAAGGCTGGGTCATAAAAGATACTGTGGCTTCTGCTTGCTCTCTCTTGGGCCACTCTCAGGCTTTGGGGCAAGCTGGCTGCCATGTCATAAGAAGAGCCGAGCAGCCCTGTGAAGAGGCCTCCAGCCAGCGAGCACGGCAGCGAGCCACGTGAGCAGCAGCTCCTCAATTTCCGGTCAAGCTCTCGGGATGACTGCCGCCCCAGCTGCCATCTTGACTGCAGCCTCATGGGAGACCCTGAGCTAGGCTGCTCCTAGATTTCTGACCCACAGAAAGTAGGAAAATAAACGTTTGTTGTTTGAAGGCACTACATTTCGAGGTGCTTTGTTATACAGCGATACATGGTTAAGAGAACAAATGAATGAATAAGCTCATTTTGCTCCTGGGGAAACTCCTAGTAACAATTGAGTTGCATTAAGCCCTGGGGTGGCCTGCCCTGGCCTGGTGACCCCACAACTGCCCCTCTGTTCTCACCAACCTGCTGCCCTTTGCCCTCGTGTTCTACCCCTCACAAGGCGGGAGCCAAGATCCTAACCCCAATTTCCCCAACAGCGGAGAGAAGGGACTGCCAGCCCTGCTGTGCGCACATCAGGATTGAATGCTATTTCTGAGCCACAGAGAAGCCCCGGGTTCACATGTGCTGCGGTTGGCCATTTTTGCTGAGGGCAAGTTTGCACTGTGTAGAAGGTGAGGCTGGTGTCGGGGAGCGGGCCCTTAGCCTGCGGGCAAGTGAGCATCTCTTCTCCACTCTAGGCTGTTCCAGAAGAAACTTAGGAAACACAAGACTATGTTCGGAATGTGATATGGAGAAAGCCAGAGCTTATTCAAACATTTCTGCAGCTGTGAATTCAAGGGCCTACTGTATTGAAGGCTGGACTGCAGTTATAGTCCTCCAGGGAGATAATAAACTGGCCTTGCAGTTTATACATCAGTATCTGGTGATCTTGGCTAATGTGAATCCGTCCCCTGAGATCTGACCACTCTTGAACAAACTAATAAACCCACATAGCTAAGACCCCGGCCCTGCCCTCATGGGGATCTCTCCACTCGTGGAAACCAGTTTCTCAAAGACTTCCCTCACTTTCTCTCTTCGGTTGGACCTCTCTCTCTTGCTTAATCATTTGTGCATGTTGGTGCCTGAGTCCTGTTTGTGAGTAAGAGTGATATTCAAAATATTTCACAAGCTGTACTGCCCATGAAGAATGCTCAGTCAGAATGGACGTGGGTCGCCTGGAGGAGGGTCCAGAGGGCCCTCACCGCCAGTGTTAACCCCTTAGTTGCTGGAAGGTTGGGAGGTCCTGGGTGGGGCAGCAGAAAGCATTTGGGGAACTCAGAGCAGTAGGGTGGAAATATTTTGACACCATGGACCGCTGGCTATGGGTCAGCCCGTGTGCCCAAGGGCATGTGCACACGTGCCTCTCTGCCTGTGGGCTCTACTCCCTGGTACAGAAAATGTGTCTCTCTTCATGTGGGCGCCGTGTGAGCCCCCCGGCTGTGTCTGATGGTTGGGCTGCCGAGGGGAGGGCTTAGAATCCAGATGGCAGAAGGCCCCCAGGTGGCCAGTCCCAGCCTGTCCCCCACAACTGCCTCTTCTGTTCTCACAAGTTTGGTGCCAGAGGGGGAACCAAGATTCTGACCCCAAGTGACTCCCCGGCCTTAGTGCATGAGGTCCCACACTCTAGTCCCCCGAGCCCAGGCCCCTGTCACTGCTCCCTGAAGGGACCTCAGCCCCTTTCCCCTCTGGTCCCCAACCTTTTTGCCTTTTCCTTTCGCCTTGCCCTTCGGATTGCTGTTCGTGGTCACCACAGCTGCCCCCTCTTCCTCCTCTTCCTCTTCCTCCTTCCTGTCTTCTGAGGCTTTGGGAGTGCCTGGGCATGGAGGGGGACAACACTGATGACCCCTGACCTGGCGGAGTACTTCACGGTTTGCAGAGTGCTTCTCACCCCATGTCTCACTGGGACCACCCCCCAACCTCAGGAGAGTAACCCCGTCTCACTATTACCAGAACCTCAGAAAGCTAAGACACCTGCCTGAGGCCACACAGCTAGTAAAGTGGGGATCCAGATGTCCCCCAAGACTTCTGACTCTAGAACCCACACTCCTTACCCACACTGCACCCCAGCTCCCCACCCCTCCCCATGGCACCCGGGGGCCACTGCCACCCACCTTTCTTCTTGGGAGCCTTCTCAGCTGGGCCGTCTTCTCCAACCAGAAACATGGCTGCTGGGGTCTTCTTCCTCACTCCGGCCGGGCTCCCTGAGGGGTCCTTGTCAGCCTCCCCAGCCCCTGCGTGTGTGGATGGGAGGGGGTCACACCCCCCACGGCACCCCGAGGCCCCTGGTCCTCCAGAGACCAGCCTCACCTTTCTTCTTCGTCTTTCTCGTCTTGGTCCCTTCCCCCGCCGGTGCCTCCTTCTTCTTACTGCGCAGAGGTTTCCTCGGGGGGACAGGGCTCCCCAGGTCCCCTGGTCATGGAGGGTGGGGTTAGACAAAGAAGGCCTGTTGGGGCTGAGGGCCACCTTCCAACCCACTCGCGGTGCCTTCAGGCCCCAGGGACGCTGAAGCCCTGACAAAGGCCCAGGGTCTGCCCTCTGCTCCTCACATTTTTAACCCTGAGTCCAAAACTGGACAAACACCAAGAGCTTAATAAGTCAATAAGCAGTTACCGAATGAATGAATGAATGAATGAATGAAGGCCATGCCCTCTAACCAAACCTCTGAATCCCAGCTCCCACCCCATCTCCCCTGAAAACCTCTGGCCGCTGCCACAGACAGAGCTCTCCCTCACGCGGAGGCCCGCGGTCTAGCGCCCTCCACGTTTACAGCGGACTGCGGTAGCCACAGGGCAAGGTGCCCTGGCCACCAGCATTTACTCGCCCATTGATTTTTACTGCAATCACTTTGATACTTTTGTAAAAATTATAACAATAATTCATATTGTTAAAAAAACTAAATGAACATCACGAAGAAAACAAATCCTCTGCCCTCCCCTGGCTCACAGAGCACTCTGGGCGGGGGGGCAGGGGCCAGAGGGCAGGGGGGACGGTGGGGAGCACATATCTATCTAGGTCCTTTCAGGACCACCAGGGGGAAGAAATGCTCTGGGACCAGCACCAGGTGACTTTCTCAGTCTCCCTCCAGGGCAGGACTAGTTGGTGGTGTCTGTGCTCTGCTCTGCGCGCGCCACACCCACCCTTCGGGGCCTGGGCCTTAGCCCGCCTCCCGTTGGTGTCTGCAGAAGCCTTCTCTTTAGGGGGCTTCTTGGGAGGCAGAGGGATTTTCTCTCTCTTTTCTTCCTCCTCTCCATCTTCATCGTCCTCCTCCTCTTCCTCATCCTCTGTAGGGAGAAACTCTTCACAATGGGGGCTGGGGTAGGCCCCCCCTATCTGGGGAGCCGCGTCCCTCAATTGCCCAGAGAGGGTAAATGAGCGGCAGGGGTGGGAGACTCCCCTTCTGGAACAGGAACAGGAGAAGAATGGGGGTGACACCCAAGTCTTGGGGGGGGCCTACAGTCAGGAGAGTGAGCTGGAGGTGGGGACTGCTGGGGGTTTGGCAGTCCTGTTCAGGGAAAATACTCTCCTCTGCAGGCCCTCCCTCGCTCTTTCTGGGACCCTCACCTCCTCACACACTCTCCCCTCCCTGCCCGTCTCTTTGCATCTCCGCTGTTTCTCCCACTCTGCTTCTCCCTGTCCTTGTCTGTCTCTGTTTCTGACCTTGAGCAGACCCATCTGGGCTACCTCTGGCCCCTGGCTGTAGTTTAAGGCAAAACTCTTAAACTTTGTGTGCCTCAGTTTCCCTATCTGGAAATGGGAGAAAGAACAAGAGAATAAAGGTTTTTCTGGCTCAAAGACAAAGCAGAGGAGTGGAGGCGGTTTTTCTGTGTTCCGCCTCCCCACCGCGGTTCCCGGCCAGCCCTTTTCCTCCTCTCTCCCCCCGCCCTTCCCTCGGGCCCTCTCTCACCGTCCTCCGCGTGCGGCGCGCGGGCCACCAGGAAGGTTTCCCGGGGGTCGCGCTTCTTGGCTTCGGGGTCCCTGAGGAACCTGGTGTAGACGGTCGGCGGCGCGGGGACCTCGGCCGACCCCGGGGCGGGCTCCTCCCGCGGCCTCCCCCTCCGCCCGGCTGGGCCGAGATGCGCGGGTCAGGGAGGACCCCCTCCCGTCTGGGGCCCCTCGCCCCGGGGTCTCCCCTGGGCCTGCTTCCACCACCGACACCTCTCCCCGGCTCTCATCCATCCCTCCAACCCCGCCCCCGGCCTCCCCGGCTCCCACCCGTCGGGTCCCCCTCTCCCCTTCCCCCTCCCCTGGGAGGGCTCCACCCCGCGCCCCGCAGGTCCCTCCCTCCCGCGCCCCTCACCCTGGGGGGCGCCCCCGGGCTCGGCCCCCCGCCCGCCGCCCGGTCTCCGGGGCTTAGATGCCGTGGGGCAGGGGGACTCAGGGGCTTCCGTCTTCTTCTTCCTCAACTTCGGCCCCCGGGCGGGCCGCTGAGGGTGCGGGTCAAAAGGAAGGAAAGGGGGGCTGTGAGGGCTGCCAGTCACCCTCTAATCCCTGAGCCGTCAGGAATAAATGCAGATTAGCGGGAGGCGAACTGCAGCCTCCTTCTTGGGGTGAGGCAGGATGACCCCTCCCCTCCATCACGGCCACCTGCAATGCCCCAAAGCCCCAATTCCTCCTCCGGACCCTCCATGCCTCCGAACGCCCCTTTCCTACAAAAACACTCCAGATAAGCAACCCCAGAGGCCACTGAGGGGGACCCGCCCCGCTCCCGGATCCCCTCCCTGCGTGGCCTTATAGTTGGGGGTCTTCCTGCCCCCTTTCCAAGCAGGGTGACATACCTGCTTGGGGCGCCGCTGGACCTCCGGGCTCTGGCCTTCCTCCTCGTGCCCGCTGAGGGTAGCAAAGGAATGAGGGTCTGCCTCCCCTTTTCCTACCCGCCTCCCCACCCATGCCTCTGGCCCCCCAGGGTCCAGGTGTGTGTGGGGGTGCCTTCCAGACCTGTCGGAGGCCCACACCTCTCGGAGGGTGTCGTCCTGCAGCGGCATCGTGCCTTCGCCTCCCCACAGCCCCTCCTGTGGCCACCCTGCCGCTCTGGGAGCCTTCCTGCCCCCCAGCTAATCCGGCTCAGCCTCGCCCCCACCTCCCCGGCTGGGAGGGGCGGCCCCGCAGCCCCGAGGGAGACCCGCCTCCCCGACCCCGCCCCCCCAACCTCCGCGAGGCCCAGCCCACTGAGGGAGCAGGAGGCTGAGCTCCCAAGTTCTTAGACCCCCAGGCCCTGAAGGATGGCATCGCTGGACCAGCCACTCCCAGCTTCCGGTTA